CTTCAGGCACAAGAAGATGGAGCTAAGAAGCCTGTAGCATATGCGAGCCGCTCTCTGACACCCACGGAAAGGCGTTACTCTCAGATAGAGCGGGAAGCCCTAGGGTGCGTATGGGCGGTGGAACACTTCAGAGCGTATTTGTGGGGAGGCAGATTTACTCTTCAAACCGATCATCGACCTCTCATTTAAATGCTCAATCCAGAGAAGTCAAAGCTTTTGCCTCCTAGAATACAAAGACTTGGACTGAGATAGTATCTGTGCTACATGGATGATGTGGTCATGTTTGCTGAAAATGAGCTGGAGCAAAGACTGAGAAATGTTTTTCAAAGATTCCAAGAAAAAGGACTGACCTTGAATAAAGAAAACTGTTTCTTTGGACTTAAGCAGATTGAGATTTTGGGTCATGTTGTCACAGCAGATGGAATAAAACCAGATCCACGAAAGGTTGAAGCAGTTTGTAATGCTCCCAGACCCGAAAATGTTGCACAGTTACGTTCATTCTTAGGCACTTGTGGATTTTTTATGAAGTTTGTTCCCAATTATGCAAATCTGTCTGAACCTCTCAGAAAACTGACCAGACAAGGACAAGAGTGGCAGTGGTCATCTGAAGCAGAAAATGCGTTTAAAAGAATGAAAAAAGAATTAACTAGTGAGCCATGCCTAGCATACTTCAACAAAGTGCAGTTTTGCTTCAGGCACAAGAAGATGGAGCTAAGAAGCCTGTAGCATATGCGAGCCGCTCTCTGACACCCACGGAAAGGCGTTACTCTCAGATAGAGCGGGAAGCCCTAGGGTGCGTATGGGCGGTGGAACACTTCAGAGCGTATTTGTGGGGAGGCAGATTTACTCTTCAAACGGATCATCGACCTCTCATTTATATGCTCAATCCAGAGAAGTCAAAGCTTTTGCCTCCTAGAATACAAAGACTTGGACTGAGATTGTATCCATATGACTACAAGATTGAACACATTGCAGGTAAAGACAATGTTGCAGACTCACTTTCTAGACTTCCTTTACCAGAAACTGAGGACAACAGTTACGTGGACACGTATATGGACAGAGTGTTGTCTGTAAATATGATGGATGTACAAGCCTTGACTCTTGAGGAACTTAAAAGAGCTACAATGGAAGATACTACCTTGACGCAGCTGATTTCCATAGTGGAGACAGGACAGTGGCCTGCTACAATTCCTGAAAGCCTACATCCATACAAACGCTGCTTGAAAGATGAGTTGTCAACCCATGATGGTCTTTTGCTGCGGGGACACAGGATTGTTCTTCCTTCCACGCTGGTTCAGCAAGCTTTGAAAATTGCACATGAAACACATCAAGGTGTAATTCGCACAAAGCAATTTTTGAGAAGCAAATTCTATTGGCCTAATATGGACATGGATGTTGAAAGAATGGTAAAAAACTGTAATGCGTGTGTTCTGAATCAACCCTTGCATGAAGATCAACCACTGCATCCATTAGAACTACCACCCAGACCGTGGACCAAGATAGGTGTTGATTTGGTGGGTCCTATTCAGAATGTCTATATACTCACCGTTATAGACTACTACACATCATATCCTGAAGCAGTAGTCATTGCCGACATTACTTCTGAGACCGTTACCAAGGAAATGATGAGAATATTCGCCCGATTTGGGTATCCCTTGGAAGTAGTCACTGACAACGGGAAGCAGTTTGTCGGTAAAGTCTTCGAAGCATTTCTGAGAACTAGTGGAGTTAAGCACATTAAGGCCTCACCTTACTACCCCAAAAGTAACGGTAAAATAGAAAGATTTCATCGTTACTTGAAGAAAGCCTTCAAAGCAGCTAAAAGTGAGGGAAGGAATTGGAGAGAAGATCTCTCAAAGATTCTTCTTGCCTATCGATCCACACCACATAGAGCATCGGGTGAGACACCAGCTTATCTGATGTTTGGACGAGATGTGCGTACGAAGTTGCCTAGTCTCATAACAGACAAAAGAGAAACAAAAGACATTGAAAGTCATCATAAAAGTTACAATGAGAAAATGAAACAGTACGCAGACATGACAAGACGAGCCAAAGAACACAACTTTAAGTTAGGAGACGTTGTATATGTGGCGAGTATGGAAGATGGTAAGCTGGACTCTAAGTATAGAGATACTCGCTATGTACTGCTGAGGCACACATCGGACAATTCCTTTGAAATGGTCAATGTAGAGGATGGCACTAGGATTGTGAGAAATGTGAAGCACATTCGTCATGTTCCTGTTCAGCTGGAGATTAACATACCAGAACCTGCAGAAATACAAAGTGATCAAGCAACTCAAGAGACAGTGGTCAAGTCAGATTCCTCAAATGAGCCACAGAGTTCTTCTGTTACAGTACCAGACACCAGCAAGCCTTTGACTACCCGTAGTGGTAGAGTGATTAAGAAACCTGCTCGTTTCAAGGACATGATTATGTAAATGTTTGAGTATGTTTGTTGACTGTTTAGTCAGTTTGGATTGAAACAATATAGTAGTATATTGTATTCAGAGTAATAGTAACAAAGTGGTTGAAACAAAAGTAATTTGTTATTTGATGGTATAAGTTCTCTAATACTAACAAAGGGAGGGATGTAGTGTAGTGATATCGCGAGAATAAAGGGGTGGGAACGAGAGAGGATCGCGAGAGTATGTTAATAAAGTTGAGATAACGACGATACAGACTGGTTATTGAGACAAACAACACAACACGTTGGTCTAGGGGTATGATTCTCACTTCGGTTACGAGAGGTCCTGGGTTCAAATCCCGGATGATCCCGCCTGCAGCTTTGAAGCTGATGTTCCGGGTTCCATGGGGGCAGTCATGGCCTAATGGTTAGAGAGTCGGACTTGTAACCCGAAGGTTGTGGGTTCGAGTCTCAGGTCCGGCAGGAATTGTCGGTGGGGGGAGTGAATGTAGAGCGCTCTCTTCTGAGGTGAGACCCTTAAACAAAGCACTTGATGGCTGATGGCTGCAATATGACTGCCCACTGCTCCGGGTGTGTGTGTGTGTGTTCACTACTGTGTGTGCACTTGGATGGGTTAAATGCAGAGCACAAATTCCAAGTATGGGTCACCATACTTGGCCACATGTCACTTCACTTGAAAATACTTGAGCGAAAATACCTTCACGTCCGCGGTGATCTCAAAACTCTGGCCATTTGATAATACCTAAAATATCAAAATCAACTGCGGGCAGCAGATCCTTTTCCTATTTAGCGCCCAAACTCTCCTAGCATTGTTCGGGAGGCAGACACACTCTGTCAGTTTAAATTTAGATTAAAGACCGATCTCTTTAGCCTGGTATACACTTAACACACTAACATCTATCTATAATTCAAATCCATTAAAGGATTGTTAGGCTGCATTAATTAGGTCAACCCGGAACTGGGAACACTTCCCATAACACCCGATGTACTTGTTACATCGTAAGAAGAATGGTATCTACGCTAATATTAGTCTCTTTCATTCTTATTCTGAGGTCACCAGTCTGTACCCAGATCAGATGGTCTCTGTAGCCACCCAGATCCAGTCCATATCCAGATCAGATGAGCACCTAGATCAGCACCTAGAGAAGACCTCTACGGCCCTGAATGTCAGCGGAGACCATGTCAACTAGATGCGCCCCAGAGATAGATCCCCTGCGAAGACCTCGTCACCTCCACGACCATCGCACAAGGGGATTGGGGATGCTTGGCTGATTGCACAGACACTATTGGAAGAGTCCCCCGCGTCCCCCGCGTAATCTACGCCCCTGGAAGTGCTATACAAATAAAGGTGACTTGACTTGATTGGCTAAACATCTCAATATTTAATAATTTGTGTCTTTTTTGAACTGAAATATTTTAAACTCTTTAATAATATGAATTACATTCACATATATTCAGATATTCAGAAGTAATGTCTGCTGACAATTCAGCATGCATTGCCATCACAGGAATAAACTACATTTTAAAATATTCAAATAGAAAAGTTATTTTAAATTGTAATAGTAATATGATATTTCAAAATACTGTTTACTGTATTTTAGATCAAATGATTGGTCTGTCTTAGCATTTCTGTTTCAAAAGCATTAAATTAACTCAGACAAACACTTTAAAGGGGTCATATGATGCTGCTAAAAAGAAACATTTTCACAATTGTTTGTGTGAGAGAGATGGACATCATTTACAGTATTCAGTATTTTACTTCCAGCAACCATCAGATGTGTCTGATCATTTTTAACAGTTTGTTGTGAAGTTGACGCCACACTGATACATGTCTGTGAGCTTGTATATAGAACTGAAAGGATGTGGTTTACCAGCAACAGTTTAATCTTAAGCATCTTGTGCACTAAGCAGTAAGCTATTGACAAAGCCTACAGCATAGCACGTATGACTGTTCTGACTTTGTGCACATTCTCACTGATGCTGGAAATCAGTGACAGCAGCAGATGTATTATCTTAAATATCAAAAGATTTCAGAGCCATTTATCCCTCAGTGACCTGCATTAGGCATTGTATGTGTGGGTAACCATATGCATAGGCATCTATGTTAGTACTATTAGCGACAGAGTTTGAGTTTTGTTTCCCATCAATCAAACCTGTGTTATTGCTAAATGACCTATTTATGTAGGTCAATGCAAAATTCTGCTCGCCCATCATCAAGGACAATTACAGTCAATCTAGAACTACAACCTACAGATCTGATATGAAGCCAGCTTGACTTATTTGACCACTCAGCAGAAATGCTTGCGACCAGTTTCTAAGAACATGATACAGTCTTACAGTATATCAGTGTTTTCATATTTAATATTATATATCTATGTTGATGATTCCCGGATTTATTTTAAATCCTCTCTCATGCTATAAATATGTGCTGTCAAAATTGATTGTAAAGTTAGAATACATATTAGTGCAAAATTATTTATAAATCATGACCTCTTCATGAAAATACATGTGTGCGCATGGTTAGGGTGTGAGATGGGACCTAATATATTACAGTACACTTACTTATGTGTTACACTTACTTACCTAATCTTTTTGACTGACGTTTGTTTCTCCAATAAATTATAAACAGGATCAGAAATACAATCAGGGCAGTAATCACGATCCCTGCCCACAGACTAGCAGGTAACAACCAAGAACAAGCTGAAATAAAGGACAAAAAGTGAGTTTATTCATTATCCAGGTCTGGTAGGAGGGATTTTTTCCAACTCATTTTTAAAAGAATGAGTGAATGAATTAGATTGATTAACACACACAGGTTTGTTTTTGTGAAAAGTGGGGACATCCCATAGGCGTAATGGTTTTTATACTGTACGAACTGTAAGTGCTATTGCCCTACACCTAAACCTACCCCTCACAGGAAACTTTGTGCTATTTCAGATTTTCAATACACTCTTTTGAAAAGTGGGGACATGGGGTAATGTCCTGAAAAGTCACCTTCTCCTTGTAATACCTATGTCATACCCTTGTCATTATACAAATTTATGTCCTCATTTGTCACAAAACCTAAACCTATCCCTCACAGGAAACTTTGTGCTATTTCAGATTTTCAATACACTCTTTTGAAAAGTGGGGACATGGGGTAATGTCCTGAAAAGTCACCTTCTCCTTGTAATACCTATGTCATACCCTTGTCATTATACAAATTTATGTCCTCATTTGTCACAAAAACGCGCGCACACACACACACACACATACACACACACACATTGAACATGGTCACATTTTCTATAAAATAAGAGTTTTTCCAGTAAAGGTATAGAGACTTACATGTAGTACATGCTTTAAAATTTCCACACACAACATCTGATTTGCTGGTCCCAGAAACTTTCAGATGTCGACCCAAATCATCACAACTGTAAAATGACAGATTAGGCAAATGATTTTAGAGGGGAAACTGCGTCTAGTTTTATTTCTACTGAGCTAAGGAAAATTATATGGAAACTATTTATTTATGTGTATAATTTTAGTCTTTGTGTGTATTGCTTTGTGTACGTGTAGAAAAAAGGGAAAGAAATATGTATGTGAATGTCAGAGAGAGGTTAAGAAAGGAAGCGATACCCACCCACTCTCCTACACAGTGTACGTCTACACTTTTATTGAATGGAAGCAAATTAATGTGGTCTTATTTTGTGTAGGAGAATGACATAAGACACATTTACGTAAAACCTGTAATGGTTATACATAAAACATATGCATTCCTCCTCTGTATTTTGTTTAAATCAGATAGAGGTGGATAAGAAATGGCATTATAGGTCTAAAAAGAAAGATATAACTTGTAGAGAAAAAGTTTAGCAGAAGGCAAGACATCTTTGGTTGTGTAATTTGGAAGTAATCTTTAATGTGAATCAGAAGCTTGTGATAGTTTCACAAGAGATCATTTCAATTTAAAGGACTTTTTAGTGATATGAAGGCAGTGTGTGTGTGTGTGTGGGGGGGGGTTCTGTGAATTTGTGATAAGTAAATTTGTCAATTGTGAAATTGCAATTTATACATGTATAACACTGACTCTCACCTTGTATGATTTTTGCAGCTGGAAAAGTAGTCCTCTACATCGCTGTACGTTCCCTCTGGGCAGGGTCTGCACGCAGTGTCTTTCTGGAACGTGTCTGCAACACAGCTTCAGTTATTCAGCAGTCCTCCTGCCACATATTCCACTCTAAACAGTCTATGGAAGCCATTCAGACCATTGCAGATCTTCTAACAGGTATATCCATGCTTTAATGTAAACTCAACTGATTTGTTTTTTTTTTACCTGTCAATATGTAAGTCATTGTGGATATTGTGGCAGTGTTATGTTCACATGGTCTATGACATGAGTGAGTTAATTTAGGTTCATTTTCCCTTCCCAGAGTATTTGATCAGATATATAGATGGATTAAAGAAAGTGCGTGGCAGTTATATTTTAAAATGTACATTTCTAGCAAGCTGCTAAATAAAGACTTCACACCTTTAGTTTAGGTGTTTCATGAAATTAACAATCTTCGTAGTCCTTATGTAGCATCTGTCAGGTTTTTAAAAATGCCCAGTGATTTCAAAAGTCACTTTGAGGTATGACTGGGTATTATTTATGTACCAAACGTGAGAGTCTCTGCGAGCAACACCAACCACAGCTCATATTTTACTCATAAATCAAAAACCGGCATTCTAAAAACCCACTGGAAATTCCAAAGTGACCCATGACAAACTAGCCTTTCGATTGGCCTACAAACTGACCTCATGATTTATTATATCAGTAGATATCTTTATATTTCAATTTAAAAATATTTGAAGGATTGTCATTTTTGGAGGTACACTAAGGCATCAAATATTTTGAAAACCCATGCACCACATTAGCAAAGGTTGATTACTTACAATGAATGTCAACTCCCTTTCCTGGAGGACATGTGGAGACCGGACTGCAGTAATCACAGTGGGATTCACTTATGTGTGTACAGAGGTATCCCGGCTTACACTTGCACTGCGTGTTTTTGTCTGCCTCACACTCCTTTACCATCTCCATGTTGCTGGCTGTCAGACACATAGCCAAACATTACTTATTGAAAAAAGACATATGGCATTATTAGAAATAAAAACCAGAGTGAGTGAATGTGAAATTACTGCTGGAGCACTCCCTGCAGGCTCGACACTGGCTTATTTTGTTTTCCTGATCATTAAATGTACGCCGTGGGCAGATTTCACACACTATATTCGATGTGGCATTACAACTGGCAAGCATATATTTTCCTGAGAAAAAAAAAAGAGAGCTCAGTTTTTGCATAAGACTACACAATCACAAGAAAAATTTAGTATTTATGATCTATGTATTTAAAAGCACAGGAATATAATAATTTCTAGACAGAAGTTGCTTGTCTATGACCTAAACCTACAACCATGTATGCACAGCAAATCTAATAAGCATTTTGGAACATGTCTCGTTTTTTTTGTTTTGTTTTTTGCCTTACTGACAATTCTATGGTAAGTGTCACTAAATTAGAATAAGACATTTTGAATGTAAATTAACTTCAAATCATGTCGCTATAAAATACTGCAGTAAAGAAAAGTGTTTGTTTGCCCGTACAATGAAATTCAGTGGGGTTGAAAACAATGGCTTTGATTGGCAAAAACACAATAAAGCATTATTCAAAATGTCTTTGTTTGTGTTCTCTAGAGGAAAGAATGTCATACTTCTTTGGAACAAAATGAGGGTAAGTTATGACAGAATATTATTTTATCCATTTAAAATGAATGGATTTCATTGCAGTAGATTAAAAACCCCATCAAACCAAGTGGTATCAGCAAACAAATAATACTTCTCAAATGACAATTTTTCATGCATGTAAAGTATGAAGTCACACAGGTGTCTTAGCAGAATAACCATAGGTGTAGATCATCAACTATGTGTAGTTTAGGTGTACTGTAGTAAGGTGTCATAGGTGAAGTAACTATGAACACCCTCCGCAAGCATATGTAACCAGAAAGTGTTCAAATGCCTTTTGGCTTCATTTGATTTATATATAGCCTAGTTTTATCATTTAAAATATAAGCTCACTGTGAAATATTTTGATGGAAAGGTGTCCTTGAGCTATCTTTCATTAAATTAAATGCTGTGCATACATTAGTCCAGCTAATATGTCATTATTTCAAATTGATACAGAATGTCCTGTGTTATATTAATGCATGACTTCCAGGAACCATGAAAATCTAGCAGGGTTACAGTACAGGATTTCCTTTGTACGCCAGAGTCTTTAGTGGGCTGATTTTACCTTGATGAAAACAATGTGATGAGTAAAAATAATACCCTGTGTCTTACAGTCAATTGTATGGCAAGCTATGTCTCTATATTAGCACAGAACACAGGCGAACTGAATGTAAGTTAACTTGAAATCATGCAGCTGTAAAAATTAGCAGTAATAAAAAGTAGATCAGTCCTGATCGCTCTTTCTCACACACTGGTATGTAAACTGCTTTCATAATGGTGCCTGAAGTTGAAACAGAAACCTCATTTTGACCAGCAATAAGTGATACAATACGTGAACAGTAATAGTTTCCAATATTAAATAAAGCAAACATTCCAACTCTCTCGCTCTCTCACTCTCTCTCTCTCTCTCTCTCTCTCTCTCTCTATATATATATA